GGGGGGGGGGGTACCGCGGACGGGGAGGTACCGCGTTTTCGGGCGCCGCGGGGGAGGGGCGGGAGGTACCGCGTTTTCGGGCGTCGCGGGGGAAAGGGGGGTTCCGCGTTTTTCGACGTCGCGGGGGAAGGGGAAGGGGTACCGCGTTTTCCATCGCTGCGGCGGAGGGGGAGGGGGGTACCGCGTTTTTCCGGTGCCGCGGGGGAGGGGGTACCGCGTTTTCGGGCGCCGCGGAAGGAGGGGGTCCGCGTTTTCGCCGCGCCGCGGGGCGAGGGGACCCGCGTTCGCGTTTCGCCGCGCTGCGGAGTCCGTGTGCAACGACCGCGCTGGTCCGCGTGACGTCACACGGCACGCTCCCGCTCGCGTTAATTCTTCCTCGTAGATGTTTTCTCGCGCCCCTGTCCCCCGTTCGCGCGCGTCTTCTCGCTCCCGACTCCCGTTCGCGCGCGGTCTCTCTCGCTCCCGGCTCCCCTTATCTTTCCCCCGCGCACGTCTTCTCGCTCCAACTCGGGTGATCTCGTTCATTCTCCATTATATTTAAACTTATTTAATGTATGAATAATATTATATGTTAAGCTTTTTTAAACATATTTAAATTATAATGTTTATATAAATCATATATAATCTTTTTTTTACTATTTTTATAAAATTATTTACTATTTAAGCATCACTATTACTAGCTTATCTAAAGGGAATGGAATCGGCGAAATAATGAAAAACAGATACAGATTTTAAAAATTACTTTATATTTTATATTTTACATTTTAAAGTTATACATTTCTTCAAATAATGTATTCGAAGTATTTGATAAAAATGCGAATCATGCAAATTGCGCCGATGTAAGGCTGCTGCTGCGAACGTGCTATTTCAATTGCAGATCCGCACCCATTACCACTCCTCTATCTCACCCTCATAATAATATGGACCTCTATGGCCACTCAACCTATAGCCAGCACTAAACAGGAAAAGAACATATTAAAAATAATTCTACATTACATTTCACTACACTTTGTCACACTTTACCTTTCGCGTGTAGCCACTAAATGAATCACCGTCCTCTTTCTAATCGTATGTTCCCCAAATCCAAATGGGCTCTCTGATACGATGCTTAGGACACCGCTCCATGTAGCGGATTGCTAGTTGCGTTTCAGGGATAAACTCACAAATGTCATCTATATCATGATACCGATGAGACCGATGACCCACTAAACATTTCAGTCGTGAGCGTGGTTCAGGTAAGTATTCTCTTTTATCCCGATGGCCTTTATATATATGGGACATTTTATGTCAACCGGATCAGCGCCGTGTCCAAAATTTGAGAGGGTTTAAAAATTTTTTCCAAGGTGCAAAAATGTAAACATATTAGCTTTCGAATACCGAGTGCGCATTTGAAAAAATTCAAAATGGCAGTCAATAGGGAGCCCATTAGGGGAGAGTGGGCACCCTTAAACCACGTTTTTTCAAATCACATTAAAAATGATTTTTAATAACTTTATTATAATATAAATGAGACTATTCGATGTTTAATATAATAAACTTTGTTTGTAAATGATTTAAGAAGTCTCGCGATGATTTCATCGAACACGTGCAAAACTGCAAATTTTGCAAATAGCGCCGATGTATGGCTGCTGCAGTTATACAGATCAAATCATCGAAAGTCAATGGCGCGATATCGTTTTCAAGAACATACGTGTCTCACGATGATTTCATCGAACACGTGTAAAACTGCACATCATAGATTTTTTTGGAAGACGCATCCGTATGGATGTTGAGATCACGGTGAAATTAGATATGGTAAACAAAACAAACGATGCATCATTAGTAGAATAAAAATGAATAATCTGGGGGATACGCTCAGTAGTCGAGAATTGGAAGTCGTGAGTACAACAAATTGTGTCAGAAAGAGGATTGTGCAATAACATGGAGCAAGAGTTATTGGAGCAATCCACCTTTTTGAATTCGAGGGAAGACTTTGCCGCGTGGGAGCAACGATGCGACGAGTTTATCGAATCGTTGGAAGAACAAAGTCGAATTAAACGGCCACGATTATCGATCGATCTTAAACAGTCATCGATCGGCCTCAAACAGTCATTGGTCGCTTGTATTGCAAGACTCGAAGGTCTGAAAGACTCGGTACGTCAGCGTTTCGTGCATGTGGGTGCGGGATACAGTGCGAGTGAGACAGGACTCAGATGGCGCGAGATAGATACGGCTTTTGAAAGTCGTATACTGACCGGTGTGGTAATAAATTCCAAACACATCGACCCTCGTCAATTTCTCAAAGATGCGGGAGAAATTGTACTTAGTCATGTGCGGAACGTCATGCAACGACATGACAATGTAAAAATAAACACAATGTTTAATGGTGAATTTGTTGCGGGCGACAAACGCGCGAATAAAAATATCGCAACGAGAAACTATGAACTCTTTCGTGAGTCCGATCTGTGTGAGTGGTACAAGCGACACGTTATCGAGCCTACCTTAGCAAAGCTGAAGGAATTCCAGGAACGTGATAGCGGATGGGCGTTGTCGCGTATACACAATTTGACTGTTAACGTAAACAAATACAATCCATTGCATGCGGGGTGTTTTGTGAAAATACCGCGAGAAATTAAAAAGAAGAAGGCGGTGATAAACGTGCGATCAATGGGCAATGCATGTTTTGCATGGTCAGTGGTGGCTGCTCTGCATCCAGCCGAGAGACATGCAGATCTGAAATCGTCGTACCATCATTACACGTCGGTGCTAAATCTTACAGACATTGTTTCCAATGACGTTGGATCAAATTAAAAATTTTGAAAATCACAACATCATCTCCATCAACGTCTACAGGATCGAGAAAAAAAACAAGGAACTTGCAATCCTACCAATACGCCTCACCGACCGAAAGATAGACAGACATGTAAATCTGCTGTACGTGCATGACGACAACGTGGGACATTTTGCATGGATTAAGAACCTATCCCGTCTTGTGAGCTCGCAAATCAACAGGCACCATGGTCGGAAATACTTTTGTGATCGGTGAGTATACATCCTAATAAAAATAAAAAATAATTTTTACGTAAAAGATATATAAAAAATTTCATTATTTACAGATGTTTGCACTATTTCTACACGAGAGGTTAGAAGCCCACACCGTCGACTGTCGGGAGATGAACGACTGCGCGATCAAGTTACCGAGCGATAACGACAAGTGGTTGGCTTTTAGGAATCACAATAGGAAGGAACGAGTTCCATTTATTGTATACGCCGATCTGGAATGTACCCTGGAGAAAATGGATGCGGATCCGGAAACATCCAGGTACACATATTAGCATCATCGCGTATTTAGCATAGGGTACTACGTGCGTTGCTCGTACGACGAGTCGTTATCAATGTATCGGTTTCGTCGCGATAAGGATTGCGTCGCGTGGTTCGCCGAGGAGCTAAGACGTTTAGTTCACGATGTAAAGACCATCTTGTCTACTAATGTACCCATGGCAGATTTCACGCGAGACGAGTGGGAAAAATTTAACAGCGCAACGCACTGTCACGTGTGCAAAAAACCGTTTGTTAGTGAGTGAGTGTTGGGGTAGCTCTCAAAAGGGCTAGTTTGGTCGGAAAATACCGTGCGACTTTGTTCTCGAAAGATCTTTATTACTTTTTCCTTAAATGCTAATCGAGCGACCTACTACATGGCTACCGTCCAACGACTGACTCCCGCCTTCTTCGTCCCTTCTTGCGCCGCTCTATCCGCTCGCTTCCCGCTCGTGCTGCCCCCCTTCTCTCGGCTCAATTCAAACTTCCTAGCTCTCAACATCCTGCCCGCCTTGAAAGGCTTGGCTTTCAACAGTATTACTACAATTCTGCCCAAGAACATAAAACTAATACACTGGTATGGGACGCTCGTATACAAAAAAAAATATTAAAAGGATAAGAATACTAATAATACAAAGTTTATCTACGGTAAAGAACAAAGTTATGCTTATTCATCCAACGGTAATATGCAAATCTTTTGTATAGCACGCTGGGTTGATCCCAACTGGGTTCTTATCTCTACTGTTCTAATTAATCCATCAGATCCTTTAAAAACCTGCGTGATACGACCTAATCTCCATTGTAGCGGAGGCGCCTTATCATCGCGCAGCAACACAAGAGCGCCTACCTTGAGGTGAGGATTGTGCAGTGTTTCTTTCCATTTTTGTCGAGACTGAAGCTGGGTAACATACTCTCGCGTCCAACGTTTCCAGAATCCTTGCACGAAACTGGATAATAATTGAAATCGTGATAAACGGTTTAACGGAACCTCATCAAAAATGGGCTCTGGTATCGCGGTTAGCGGGGCTCCTACCAAAAAATGCCCGGGCGTAAGCGCCGTCAAATCCGAAGGGTCCGCTGATACGGGTGTAAGTGGCCTCGAATTCAGTATTGCTTCTATTTGCGCGAATACCGTGGTCAACTCCTCGAATGTCAAACTTGTTGGATTAATCACCGCCTTTAAATGAAATTTTGCCGATTTTACCGCGGCTTCCCACAATCCTCCAACGTGAGGCGAGTAAGGTGGGATAAATGTCCATTCAATCATTTGTTCGGCAGTAAACTCTAGAATTTTACTCTTTACAGACTCACTTTGCAAAAACCTTGCGAAATCGTCTAGCTCGTTCTTTGCCCCTACGAAATTTCTACCGTTGTCAGAATAGAGATGACAACTTTTACCGCGTCTCGCTATAAATTTTTTTAAAGTGTTAAGAAATGCAGCTGTGGACAAATCTGATACGACTTCAAGATGTGTAGCCTTAGTGGCCATACACACAAATACAGCTAAATAAGTCTTGCCCCGTTTGTTACGCGAGATTTTAATCGTAAATGGGCCGGCATAATCAATCCCCGTATGCGCAAACGGACGCCCCGGATTTACTCTCGCCGCAGGTAAATTACCCATAATTTGATTTAAACTCGGTGGCGCTTTACGAAAGCATAGTATACATTTGCGCAGTGTTCGACGAATCTCGTTTCTCGCAGATACAATCCAGTAAGTTTCTCTAATTATCGCGCTTAAAGTATTGGTACCTGCGTGCAAATTTTTGTAGTGCATTTCTATGATGAGTAGAGTGGAAAAGGGATGTTTTGCTGGAAGGATAATGGGAAATCGCTGATCATAACTAAGTGCTGCGTTCATCAGCCGTCCGCGCACTCGCAATACTCCCCCTTCGTCCACGAATGGATTCAGAGACAGGATGCGGCTGTTCCGAGAAACCTTCCCCTTGTTACCTTTATCCCAAATTTCTCGAGCGAATGCTTGTCGTTGTGCCATCTTGACCAGCGCAGTGTTAGCTGCTGTCAACTCTTCCACCTTTAACGGTCCAAAGCGGCGTTGCGATGCCTGCTTACGACAGTTTTCTACGAATCTATAGCAATACGCAACTATCCGCCGTAACTTTGATAACGATGAGAATCTTTCCAACAGATTCTCTTCATCCTCTTGAACCGTTACAAGGACAGTTCTGCGCGATTTCTCTTGCAATTCTTCGGGGATTTCCTTAATGACATCATTAGGCCATTGATCCGAGCTTGCTCTTAGCCAAGGAGGTCCTGACCACCACATTTCCGATTTTGGCAATTCTCGAGGATCAATACCCCACAAAATTATGTCTGCCGGGTTTGATTTTGTACGCACGTGTCGCCATTCATCTTGCCGTGTCAGCCCTTGTATAATTGTTACACGATTTGCTACAAAGACCTTGTGCTTATCTGGGTCACCTCTTATCCAGTGGATGACGATGCTCGCATTGGTCCAATAAAGGTATTTGTGGATTTGAAGTGTAAGAGCCTTCCTTACCTTACAAGCAAGTTTTGCAAGCAGTACTGCACTACATAATTCCAACCTTGGTATGGAAAGAATCTTCAGTGGAGCTATGCGCGACTTTGAAGTTAACAGTCTTGCTGTTTTGTTCCCCTTTGCATCAATCGAACATAAATAAATGCACGCGCCATAAGCTGACTGAGACGCATCACAAAATCCGTGCATCTCTATTTGTACTGCTTCCCTTGTTACTGCCTGCCTTGGTATTTTAATCTCTTCCATTGCTTCGAGTCTCTCCTTGTAAGAATTCCACTCAAGCATTAATTCGACAGGTATCTTGTCATCCCAATCGATACTCAATTTCCACAATCTTCGCATGAATAGCTTAGCCTTCACTACTACCGGTCCGATAAGGCCCATCGGATCATAGATTTGTGCGATAACGGAAAGGATACTACGTTTAGACCTACAAGGTCCAGCAGGTATAGCCACCTTGAATATGAATGTATCTTCTTGGGGGTTCCAACGAATTCCGAGCGTCTTTGTCTCTTCTCTTGAAGTAAGAGGAACTTCCCTTTCCGAGCTTGGTAGTAGCTCCGATGCGTTGGAGTGCCATTTTTGCAGTTCCATCCCTGCCGATGCTAGAATCTGTGTCACTTCCTGCTTTCGTTGTTGTAATCGCTTCACTGATTTACTTCCAGTCCCCCAGTCATCCATATAAAAGTCCTCTTCTATTGATTTTGCAGCATCTGGATATGCCTTGGCGTTGTCAATTGCTAATTGTTTAAGACATCTTTTTGCTTGATATGCAGCTGACGCTGTCCCATATGTCACCGTTGTTAGCTGTTTCTTGCGGATTGGAGCCTGAATGTTCTTTCTCCAAAGAATCCTCAGCAATGCTCTATCTCTTGGTGCGATCTTAATCTGACGGAACATTTTGACTATATCTGCCGTTAAGACATAATCGTCCTGACGCAACCGCAGCAAGTGGTCTGAAAGCTCTGGTTGTGTCTCGGGTCCCACTATCAGCAAATCATTTAATGAAACTCCCGAGGACGTTCGGCAAGATGCGTTAAACACTACTCTGAGTTTAGTTGTATCACTTTCTTTGCGTGTAACTCCATGGTGAGGCAAGTAATATACAACGTCTGGGTCCTCTTGATTCTCAGGAACTAACTCCATATGACCCATACTCTCATATTCCTGTAGGAAATCCAAATATCTTTGATGTAATATCGGATCCTTCGCAAATCTTCGCTCCATGGATTTTAAGCTCTTCATTGCGTTATACTCGGAGTCACCCAAGCTCTTGATCTCGCCCTTTAATGGCAGAGATACCACGAATCTCCCGTTTTCATCCCGATAGGTAGTCGACTCAAAATGCTTCTCACAGGCCACCTCTTCCGGCGTCAGATTTCTCTCTAGCTCACATCGCTCGATCTCCCAAAATCTTTCCAATTGCTCATTTAGATCTCCATTGGTTATTGTGCAGCAAATTCTACTAGTTCGGTTTGTTCCTATAAGCGTAAGTTTCCCTCCTAATATCCATCCTAGGCTGGTTTTCTGAAACACCGGCTGTTCATTGCTAAGTTGAATTCTTCCTTGTTGTAGAATGCTCCAAAACACCGTTGCGCCAAGTAACATATCCACCTTTTGAGGCACGTTGAACGTTGGATCAGCCAATTGTGAAAGGGAAATAGATTCAGGGATTTGTAATTGGGATACCTCTACTCGATTCCCTGGAATTCTGCTAGTAATCTGATCAATCACTGTAAAGGTTAAAGTCTCTGAATACTTGGACAATTTTGATTTGACAGTCGCAGTTACCATTTCCCTTGTAAAAGTTGTATTTCTTTGAAATCCGGTTACTCTACCTTCAACTTTCTTTGGCTCTAAGTCTAATTTGTTAAGCAGATCGGAAGTTATGAAGTTGAGAGTTGCACCGTTATCTAATAAAGCACGAGCATTGTGCAACTTGCCTTTCCTGTCAACTATATGCACCCATGCGGTAGATAACAAGATTTCGGAGCTTGTGCTCTTAGAGGCACACGTTACTACAGAGTTCGCTGCTGGTACACTCTTAATTTCCTCTACTTTTTTCTCAGCTCCCTTTTCACTTTCGCCCTTACTCGCATTCTCACTAGTGCTATAATGTAGCAATGAATGGTGTTTTTTGTTACAATACCTACATGTACCTGACCTACACTCTCGAACCAAGTGACCTGGATGCAAACAATTCAAACAAAGTTTCAATTTACGCGTTTCATCTACTCTCGACTGAACAGATAAGCTCTTAAACGTGTCACACATGTAGACTTTGTGATCTTTCTTGCATACCGGACAAGTTAATTTAGAATCGTTTGTGACATGCGCTACGCCTTTATTCTTCTTATTAGATTTATCGCTATCTTTCTTTGTACTATCGAATGCGTTAACGCTCTCTAACATGTTACATTTAGCTTCTAAAAACGCAATAAAGTCTTTAGTTTTATATTCCTGTTTTTGCACAGTTTTTTCTTCCCATTCACGCGCTGTGACAGGATCTAAACGAGTTAAAATCTACTCAATAATTAGTGGACACCAAGTTTCCGTTGCATACTTGAGCGCCTTTAAAGCTTCTAGATGTTGCTTTAGGCAGTCGGTTAGGTTACGTAGTTGGCTGCTAGATTCCTTTTCAATTGGCTTCAAGCTGAATATCGCACGAGTATGATGGCGAGTGGCCAATCTGGAATTATCAAAACGAGTTTTTAACAGATTTATAGCTCTAGGATAATTTACCTCATTTATTTCCAGAGATTCAATTATCTTTTTCGCGTTTGCGTTCAATGCGGATTGCAAATAGTAAAATTTGTGGACATTCGATAGATTTTGATTCTTATCCACTAATGCTGAAAATGTACTATAAAATACTGGCCATTGCTCATAAGTTCCATCAAAAGTAGGAAGACTCATTACTGGTAGCCTCACCGATGTGCCTGCTGCAATCATATTCTCGCCCGCAATGCCTATGTTTGCGTTTTCTACCTCGACATTGACTCGTCTATTTGTATACTCTTCTATGATAAGACGTGCCCTTCCTACAGTCGCAAAATAGTTTTTCTCAAACTCTAATCGCTCTCTTTGTTAGTTATTCGCGAACTCTTCCGAGTCATCTAACCCTTCTATTTGTTCTTGAACGTCGCTATAGCTATTCCACAATTGCTCGATTTTCTCTAGGCGAATACGAAGTTGCGCTAACGTTTCTTTATTAACTACGAATCCTCCCAGATATGTATTAAACTTCGTTAATTGAGTCTTAATTGTAGCACGTTTTCGTTTGAGATTGGCGAGACCTTTCTCCTTATCCGTCATTTTTGCAAGCAAAAGGCACTACTCAGCTAAATACACTTTTAATGGACGCTATTTCCTTATGGTATATGTACAGCTTTGAATACTATTTGCAACACCGCTTTCTACAAATGTATGATCTACGCTCTCGATACTTAGGTTACGGCTTCTCTGGTTCCGTCGAATGAGTCTCGATGATCGAGGTACTCAAGTTTATCGAACTCCCTTTCGTCGGCTATTGTACGTGGCTGGAAATCCAATGCCTTTCAGGACTCGATTTCCGCTCTCCTCTCAAGTTGCCGTGCAAGATAACCTTCACGTGTTTTGTTACGTGCAGCGGCTTTGCTCTCCAGTTTGTGTATTTCAGCCTTTTACCGGCAGAATCCGGCTCGAAGGACCATTTCTTGTTAGTGAGTGAGTGTTGGGGTAGCTCTCAAAAGGGCTAGTTTGGTCGGAAAATACCAAAAATGCGACTTTGTTCTCGAAAAATCTTTATTACTTTTTCCTTAAATGCTAATCGAGCGACCTACTACATGGCTACCGTCCAACGACTGACTCCCGCCTTCTTCGTCCCTTCTTGCGCCGCTGCGCGCGCCGCTCTATCCGCTCGCTTCCCGCTCGTGCTGCCCCCCCTCTCTCGGCTCAATTCAAACTTCCTAGCTCTCAACACCGTTCGAGCCAGACGACGTGCGAGTACGCGACCATTGTCACCTGACCGGCCGATACAGAGGTCCTGCGCATTCTAATTGTAATCTGAACTACAAAGATTTGCATTGCATTCCCATAGTTTTTCATAATTTATCGGGCTACGACGCGCATTTTATTATAACGGAAATAGCAACTGCGTACGAAGGACATGTAGACTTACTCCTAATTACAAAAGAAAAATACATTTTGTTTACAAAAAATGTTAAAAGCACCGAAGAGATAAAGATAAGAAAACTTGCGTCAAATTGCGATTTATTGATTCATACAAGTTTCTCACCGCTAGTCTCGACAAATTGGCATCTTATCTCAGCAAGGATAAACTTCGAATATTGCAACGCGAATTTTGTAAATTATCCGCAGAAAATTTTGATTTACTGACAAGAAGAGGCGTATTTCCGTACGAGTACATTGACTGCGTCGAAAAGTTGGAGGACTCGTGTTTACCACCGCGCGACTCGTTTTACAGTTCATTGACAGGTGACACCGTATCCGAGAGCGATTACATGCACGCCGTCAACGTCTGGCAGCGGTTTTCCATTCGAACGCTCGGTGACTACAGCGATTTATATCTCAAAACCGATGTCTTGCTGTTGGCCGATATCTTTGAAAATTTTCGCGATAATTGCGTCGCGAGTTATGGACTCGATCCCGCGTATTATTATTATACTTTACTGGGTTTTACATGGGACGCTATGTTGAAGCATACGCGTATCAATTTCGAATTGCTCACCGACATTGACATGGTCATGTTTATCGAACGCGGCATACGCGGCGGTTTGAGTCAATGTTCAAATAGATATGCGCTGGCCAACAACAAGTACATGCAGTCGTACGATCCATCGAAACCGTCGTCGTACCTGATGTATTTCGACATAAACAACCTGTACGGTTGGGCAATGTGTCAACCATTGCCATTCGCAGATTTTCAATGGGTCGACGACGTAACCGATTTTAATGTTATGGATGTCGCGTTGGATTCCTCGATAGGTTACATTCTCGAAGTCGACTTGGAGTATCCGTAACATCTTCACGACGCGCACACTGACTTACCGTTCTGTCCGACGCGCGATAAACCACCCGGTAAGCGGCAGGACAAGCTCCTCGCAACATTATACGATAAGAAACATTATGTCATACATTATCGCAACCTGCAGCAGTGTACTTGTCATGGTCTCCGCGCGTATAGCAAAAATTCACCGCATATTGAATCTCCATGGCTCGCGCAATCTCCATGGCTTCGCGATTATATAGAACTCAATACGAAATTTAGAACATTGGTTAAGAATGATTTCGAAAAAACTTTATGCAAATTGATGAACAACGCTGTGTTTGGCAAAACCATGGAGAATGTGCGCAATCACGTTGACGTGCGACTCGTGACTCATTGGGAGGGTAGATACGGCGCGGAGGCAATGATCGCGAAACCAAATTTTCACAGTCGAAGCGTTTTTTTTGGAGAATTTAGTAGCAATAGAAATGCGAAAACTCGAAGTGAAGTTCGACAAACCAATCTACGTGGGTATGTGCATTCTCGATATATTCGAGACATGTTTGTATGAATTTCATCACGAGTACATGTTACCGTTGTATCGCGACAAGTGTAAAGTCACATACACCGATACGGACAGTCTCATTTATCACATCGAGTGCGACGATGTGTATGATACCATGAAGCGCCACATTAATTTTGACACTAGCGATTACGCGGTCGATAATGCGTACGGTATCCCACATCCCACTCGCCAATAAAAAAGTACCGAGCTTAATGAAAGACGGAAATAACGGTGCGATAATGACCGAATTTGTCGGGCTTAGAGCAAAGATGTACGCCTTGTGAGTAGACGGTAAGAAAGATACGAAAAAGGCTAAAGGTGTTAAGAGTAACGTCGTAGCCTGGTCGATAACGTTCGACGATTACACGCGGTGTCTGCGCGACGAAATTGAAATGACGCGACAGCAGGCTTGCATAAGATCCAAACAGCACGAGTTATACACCGTGTCCGAAACGAAAATAGCTCTAAGTCTGTACGATGATAAGCGATACATTATACCCGGTTCTACCGAGACGCTGCCATGGGCAGGAACAGGAACAGGAACAGCAACAGTTGCTGAACACGAATTTTTGTAAAAACTTTTCGAACACGACTTTTTATTCATTTTTTAAATATAAATCGCTTGACGGCTCTTGTCACTGTGAAACTGCAGCAATTTCAAACAAGCAAATAAAGCTTTTAGGACATGTCGCGCGTTTACACCGCAAAAATGATAACGGCCTATTTCAGGTCGGGTCACTAAAATACGCGGTCTGACCTGAAGCCAGGTACGGTCGCCTATCAAGTGTTTACAGCAGGCGGCCTAAATAATTTAGGTCGAATTTAAAGTATAGGCCGCGGCCTAAATTCTCATGGTGTAAACGTAGCCTATAGCGTGAATGCGAGGGAAAAAAAAAAAAAAAAAAAGTTGTGTAAACCCGTGGTGAAGGAATGCCGTCAATTGTAAGAATTCAGCCGTATTACCATACATGGAAGTTACAAATAAATGTGATACTTGTGAAAAACGATGTTTGGAGCTACGTGAGCAGAGCGATAGAGAAGCCGTTGAGCGGAGACGAGGCAATTCGAGCATGGATTAATAAGGACGCAAAAGCAGAGGCCGACATCATATTGTCAATTAGTCCTTTGGAGTTGGATCTAATTCGTGGGTGCGCGTCTTCAAGAGAAATCTGGCTGAAAATTGAATCAACGTTCCAATCCAAAGGACCAGGGCGAAAAGCGACGCTCTTGAAGAGAATTATCCTGTCAAGACTGAAGGAAGGCGACAATCTACGTACACATTTAACGGAATTTTTCGAAGCGGTGGAAAAGTTGAAAGAGATTAATTTGGTAATAAACAAAGAGGTACTGGCAATTTTATTGTTGTACAGTCTGCCAGAATCTTTTCAAAATTTTCGATGTGCCATCGAGACACGAGACAAATTGTTAGATCCCGAAACGTTGAGAGTAAAGATTCTATTAGAGGAATTCAAATCGCGAAGAACAAACAAAAATTCGGAGCAAAATGCTATGTATGCGAAGAGTCACGATATCCGCGCGTGCCTCAAGATAGTCACGGGGACTCGAGAAATGTCAAAACCGAAGGTCAAACAGGTGCGAGACAAGAACCGATATGTTTTTGTTGTGATAGAATAGGCCATATTGCGAGGAACTGTAGAGCAAAGTTACCGTTGAATCCACAAGCGCGACAGATAGAAGACGATGATAATACGCCGACGGGTACGGCTCATGTGAGCGATAATGTAGCAATGTTAAACACAATGGAGACTGTGATGCTTAATCGTGAAGGTGAAAATGGCATGGATTGGTGTTTGGACAGTGGCTGTACAGCGCATATGTGTGCTGAAAGAGACAAATTTGAGAAAATTGAAAGCGAGAGCAAAAGGTTGAACTTAGCAAATAATAAGTCAACGCGAATTACCGGTGCGGGAAACGTGAGAATGCCTATGAGTAATGGCAAGGTAATGGTACAAACATAAATTTCGAAAAGGTGTATTACGTGTCAGACTTACGTACTAACCTGTTGTCGGTATCGAAGATTACGGATCGCGGGTATAAGGTGATTTTCCGTGAGAAATATACGACAGTGACGGACAAAGACGGTAGAATGATCTTTCGCGCGGACAGAATAGGAAATTTATATTACGCTCGAAAAGGGCGCGAGCCGGAAACCCAGTGGTAGTAAATCACGCGAGGAGTGTGAGATAGATGCGTGGGATCAGAGGCTCGGACATTTAAATGAGCGTGATTTAAAAAGTATGGCAAAAAGCGGTGTAGTTTACGGGCTAAATTTAAAAGGCAACGAGACAATGTCAAAGTGTAAAATGTGCATTCGCGAAAAACAAACTTGTTTTCTATTTTCGCAAAGTGAAGGAAACCGAACGAAGCATTTACTGGAAATTGTGCATTCCGATGTGCGTAGCCCGATGCGAAGTGTGCGTCATTTTTGGGTGCAAAATACTTTGTAACATTTATCGACGATAAATCACGACGATTTATTTTTTGTCGGTTCACTGTAATCTCGAGTCTACCGAAGTTACACAATAAATCCAAATTGCTTGTTGATCGTGATCTCCGGTACTGTATCCATACACGGAGATCACTGCTATTACACCTTGACTCTATCTTATCTTGCGCGGAACGGGTCGCACGCGTGACTCTACTTACGCGGAAGCTCTAATCACACGTTGAATCTACTAATCACGCATTGAATCCAATAATCAGTGATTATTAATCACGCGTTGAATCTAATCATACGTATTC